CAACACCCCGCGTCCCCCAGCTCGCTCTTCTGGCTGGAGAACTCTGGGAGTTGAAGTCCACAAGTCTTAAAGTTGCCAAGTTTGGGAACCACTGTCCTAGACATTAGAAATTTGCTTCATTTGCAAGGCTTTGTCTTTATAAAAGTAAGGAGTGTGATATGACCATGTTCATTTTTTCCTCACTTATTTAAGCTTTGCTGGTTATTTCAGCATTTTACAGAGTCACTTTTTTCTACAGTGTTTTTTATTCCACTATCCACTAACAGGTAAAAAGATCACACTGAGACACACAGGTTATTGCCATCTGAGATCTTGATCTTGAACTTTCCTTGGTGTTCCTATTTCTCAGTTGCCTTTTTCCAGGCTAACCATTTAATGCCATCTACCATTGTGTTCTAGGAGACAGGTTGAATGGGAGCCTGCCAGCAATTTGATTGAAGGGGTTTGTTTGACACTTCAGAGGCAGCCAATCATATCCTTCCTGCCTCACCTTAGGTCATTGATCAATGTCTGTGTCAATCTGGTGAGTAAATAACATGGCAACCTCCTACACATCTGCCAAGCTCCCTTCTACAATACAAACTCCCTGTTCAGCACTCCTAGAAAGAACTTCCTTGAATAACACCAGACATAACGAAGTACATTTTCAAAGTGATGCATGGGGAGAGAATGAAAAAGAAACCCATAGTCCAGTGACTGGGTTTGCCTACTTTCTACGCACCACTCTGAAAATCCACTTCTGCATGTTGCGCTGAGAGTTGAGGGCTGCAAGTTGGAGACTGGGGTGGTGGATACTGCACACACCTGGCAGAGGAGTTGGAAAGAAGTGTGGGACCCTGGAGATATTATTCAGCCCCACCTTGTAAAAAATAATGCAAAAGGACATTAACGCTTAACTCAACCAATTATCAGAATGAAATTGTTTTGCCATTTACAACATTCATAGTTTTTTAAAAAAAAGTTTGTGGTGTCTCTGTATGATGTTCAGATCCTTCCTGACTCTTTAACATGGATGTTTCTAGACTGCATTAAGGAACATCAGTTTTACCTGGTGTGCCCTTGGCCTGCATAAAACTGATATAAATACAGCTGACTTGAAAGATAATTCAACAATAGATAAATCTTTCACGAGCATGATACCTCTTCAGTAAAAAAAATAAAGAAGCTAGAATACTTAATGTAACAATAACTGTCATTTAAGTAGGAACTCAATGGATAAAAATATCGAGTTTTTATAAGGTTGAAATGAAAGCTAATAAATTGGAATACGTTCCCTATATACAGTACTGGTTTAAATTAGTTGGCATTTTCATTGATATTTTGAAATGATTTTGATTACAGTCTGGAAGATCGTAGAATGCAAGAAATTCAGAAAACTCAGTGAAGTCAGACAAACAGTAAAAACAATAGCAATAGCAATAGCAGTTAGACTTATATACCGCTTCATAGGGCTTTCAGCCCTCTCTAAGCATTTTTCAGAGTCAGCATATCGCCCCCAACAACAATCCGGGTCCTCATTTTACCCACCT